ACACCCGGCCTGGCGACGCCACCTGACCAGACACTCATCTTAGTAACCACAAACACTTAAGCGTCTTCATTGAGGCTTGAACTCTAAATCTTCCTTTTGGAAAGTAAGAACCGGTAATGCTGGGCCACTTGGCCCTTTGGTCCCTTTCTTTTTCTTCTTCTTCTTCTTCGCCTTCATTGGTTGGGTCTCCTTCTTCTATTATTTGGTTTATCCACATTACACTAATTTATTACCTAAACTCTTCATCACTGTTTTGACTATTTTCAACTGCGTTTCGGCTTCTGAAAGGAAAAAGAGATTTAAAAAAAAAAAAAAAAAGGGTAAGGGAAAGGTTTCAGAATTTTCCATCTCCTATTATAGCAATTAATATCTCTGTTATTTAATATAATTCAATGCTAGTATGAAATTAAAGATAAGAAGAAAGCTAGGACAGTAATGAGTTGTGCAATGTACGAAACACGCTCTCTTTCTGCATAAGTTCATCTTGTAGCTTTCTGTAATTATGTCTACTTCTTGGCGGGAAGAAGACTGTTCCCTCTAATATGCATGGCTTTCAGCATCTCGATTGACAGATACATATAGAGAGAGGAATATTAGAGATAAAGAGAGGAAGAGAGAAGGTACGTTGTGCTGGATTTGGTGAGATAGGACGTCATATCAAGTGGTAAAATAGTGTCATATTTTTGGGTCTATTGCATGCATCAGTATGATATTTTCTCTAGTTTAATTAAATGAAAGGATATAATAGTAAAATCAATGTGTACAGTTAAGGAAACGAACGGCTCTAACTCTGACGGGTGTGAGGGTTATTTTTCAAAATGTTTAGTCTTGGGTAATAAAGGAAATCTCAGAAAATGTGGGAGGAATTCAATTTGAACTTGTATTTGAGTGAATTGCTCCCACTAGGGTCCGTTTGAAAAGCTAGAAGTAGGAAAGGAAAAGAAAAAGGAAAAAAATCAATTTTTTTGGTCAGAGTGAAAAAGAAATTTTTTGAGAAATTAGGATCCCCGCAAGTGATTATTTTCTTCAAAATATTTCTTGTATAAAACATATGAAAATTTATTTTCTTGCAAATGTTATTTCTTTTTTATTTTAGTTTTCTACTTTGCCCATGTACCAAGGGCCTTGTGGCCCAATGGTATTTCATCTACTTTCCAAAATGGATGGTGAGAGTTTGAGTCTCTAAAGAAGCAAAGTGTGTGTGTGAATGTGGCGTGTGTGAGTTTTTTGCCAATGATAAAAAAAAAAACTTTGCCCATGTCATTTGTTGCTCTTCTTCTGTGTAAATTGCTTAATTTATATGATTATAAAATACTAATGTTTATACAAAATTGATTCTTTTATCTGTATTTTTTATTTTTTATATTTTTTATATAATGATTGAGAGTAATAGATACATACATACATAAATATAAATAAATAAATAAATAAATAAATAAATATATATATATATATATATATATATATATATATATATATATATATATCAAGTATTTGTTGAGTGCATTACTACCAAAGGGTTGGGTGAAAATTAGGATTGGGGTTAACGTTGGGGCTTTCGGGTTTTTGTATTTGATTGGAATTCGTATATAAGAGTTAAATGAAAATATGTTTGGTGAAGTCCATGGCTATTTTATTTATACGTGCACTGTGTGTTTGGGAACTCCGTGGAGACTGGGTGTGTTTGATGGCCAACCACCGTTCTTTAGTGGTTGTGTGTTACAAGTGTCATTTATCCCATATCGGATCTGGATGGAAAAATGATTGGGTATAAATAGGTGGGTATGTAACACTATCCAACAACTTGACCTTTTGGATAAATGAGCAAACACCCATTCTTTACAATTGGTATCAGAGCCGGACCTATTGTACTTTTATTTGTTCAACTTATTGACAAAATAACATATTCACCCTTTCTAAGGGTATTATTGAGTTTTAAGTAAATTTTGATCATGACATCATTTGACAAGAGTATTAGATTTTATGAAGATGGGAAGGTGATCCGTGTTATTTAGGTAATCTACAGAAAAAGGTAAGTGTAATTATTCCTTGTTATTTTTAGGAAAAAATAGTTATTAAGTATATATAAATACTATTATTCTTAGATTAATTGTTATTCCAGAGAAAATTAGTTACTTGGTTAATATAAAATTCTTTGGCAACTAAATGATTTGAGCTTAGCTTAGCTCCTTGTCTAAACCCTCTTTGTCATTACCTACTGATGTCAACTTGTAATCTTGTGAATTAGCCTCACTTCATCTTTGTATTAGCATTGATGTCAACTTGTAATCTTGTGAATCAGCCTCACCTCATATGAATTTGTTTGAGCATATGAGCCTCATCTTATATTGTTCTCTGATTTTAGCCTTGGTTGTACTTGTACATAACTCGTTTTTATCAATCATTACCTACTGATGTCAACTTGTAATCTTGTGAATCAGCCTCACCTTATCTATGTTTGAGCATATGAGCTTCATCTTATATTGTTCTCTGGCTTTTTAGCCTTAGTTGTACATATATTACTCTTTCTATTTATGAAACTTACACTTACCTTATCCCAAAAATAAAATAAAATAAAGAAGTTGAAGAAGAAGGCACTAAATGATTTGAAACTGATTGCACTGTATGGCACACTAATGCAAAAAATCACAACAATACTAAAATGATTTATTCATCTAAAACAAACAGGGAATAGACATATAACTCCCCACAGGCCATTCTAAAACCTTTTAAAATTCATGTAAAAGTTTCATTCAAGTTCTAAAGTATCTTTTCATATGATTGATCAAATGAGTTAAAATCTGATTCATAACATATCTCATATGATTCTTCCAATCCAACCTAGCTACGACCTCTCAACTCTCAGTTGGTAGCCTCAACACAAACACACTCACACACACACGCAGACAGACACCTCTGCCTCCCTCTCTCTCAACTCCATGTCCTTAAAAACCCTACCACCCACCTCCCTCCCTCATCAAACTCCCCTTCTCTCTCTTCTCTTTCTCCGGCTCGTATCGTAGTAGTTTTCCCTTGCCATGGCATCAAACACCATGCATGGCACTGATGAAGTACGTAGATATCTCCTCTACCTTGTTTTTCTCAATTTTCTATCTTTATTTCTTGTTTCATACTAGCTATATAGTAATTGAATTTTGTTATAAACTTATAAGAATGTGTGTTTAATTAATTCTTGACAGCCTCAGTCTCCAAAACACAATGCTGTGGTATCAAAGATATGTAAAGTTTGTGGCGATGAGATCGGATTGAAAGAAAATGGTGAGCTTTTCGTGGCGTGCCTCGAGTGTGCCTTCCCGGTTTGCAGGCCTTGTTATGAGTATGAAAGAAGCGAAGGGAGCCGATGCTGTCCTCAGTGCAACACTCGCTATAAGCGTCACAAAGGTACCTTCTCTTTTATATATATATATACACACACACACACACTTGCATAAATCTTAAGTTGATTGTATGTTAGATTATATAAAGTGCAAATGCTTCTAAATTTGGGAGTTGTATTATCCTCGGTTTAGTAGATGACTAAGTCATAATTTGAAAAAAAAAATGAATATATTTTATTTTGATATTTCTCATATGTTAAGGAAAACAAGTTTGACTTAGGATAATATTTAAGTTATTGATCATTACTAGTGAGAATGTATTTATACTATCTCACCATATACGCGACACAATCTTGTTACGACACATCTGTGGTGAGATAGTATAAGTCTTCAGTGATGATCGACTATATATCCAAATATTGTACTTAAATTAATATGACATGCATTTGTAGTACAATACCATTATATGATTATTTGGAAGAAGGGGTATTTCCTAATTTGGACTATCACATCTATAATTTACTCCAGTGTTCATTTCTATGCAAAATCTCATATTTTTCATATATTTTTTTGTTGCAAACTGTTTGTCATAGTTTATTTATTTATTAGGGAATCTTAATCATAATATAATTGATAGATTCAAGAAAGTATGTTTGTCATAATTTTTTTTTATTAGGAAATGTTAATCATAATATATGTATGTAATGTAACAAACAATTATTGTTTAAATTTATACTTAAGTTTTTTTTATGGTTGTAAATAAAATATTATTAATGAGGAAGCAAACACATTATAAGAAGACTTGTCAACGGATTTCGATCCAAATTCGATCTTACAATTATGATATTGATTGAATATTTAATCTGATAATTCGTTAATCCGAATTTGATAATCTATTAGTTAGCAAATCGGATATGTATTATGGTCGTTAATAATTTGATCCGACCAAATATAATATAAAATATTCTATATATATATATATATATATATATTATTAGTCATATAATTGGTATATAGTTGATGAAAAAATTAATCAAAAAAGTTGACAACATAGAGTGGTTATGTTGCATAATATTAGAATTCTTGAGTATACAATTTTTTTTTTTGTTAATTCTTTTCTTCCTTGTTTTTTTTTTTTTTCAACGCTTCATTGTTTTTTCTTTAATAAAAAAATCAAATATATAATTTCTTCTCTCCTTATTTTTTTTTTCCAATTATTTTGTTCTTTCCCTCACTTTTATTTATTTAATTTGAAATTCCCAACCAAAAAAATTACTATAATTCTTAACAAATTGAGTTATCGAATCGAATATAAATTTACGAACACAAAATTCAACGAGTTATCAAATAAGATTGTATCACAAATATTTCTTATAATACATAATTCTAATACACATCTAAATTTTGCTATTTGTAATGAATGTACTTTGATTGATGTTTTAAAGTCATGTCAGTGAGATCAGCCAAATGAATTCTCTAATGTTTATAATTTTTTTCTAATCACAAACCATTTCTCCTAATATATTTCACTTTTTAAAATTATTTCTGTAAAAGATAAATTGTGTATACATACATAGATACATACATACATATATATATATATATAATATAAAGGAAATAAAATTTTTGCCCGCAAGGGTTAGCTCAACTAGTAAGGTTTTGGGAGAGCTCTGTTTAGAAACTAAGCAAAGGTAACGCCTAAATTTAAAATTTTAAATGATGCATGAAGTTGTGAATCATTTGAGAGTTCAAAGATGGTTAATTCTTGGTTACAACTCTCAAAGCCATTAAGGAAGTTGCAGCAGAGCATACAGAAGGAAGCTCAATCCTTGACGAAAGAGCTAGAAGCTTCCAAGTGGAAGCAATGGCTCTGGCCGTGCTGCAGTTCTTCAATTTCTTAGAATCATTTCTAAACACCTACGTTTGGAGCCCTGCATTGGGGTTTTGGAATTGGAATCAGAGAAAATCAAATTTAAATTTTGAACTAATTTTTTTTCAATTCCAAATTCAAAGTTTCCATTCGATTTTATATTATTCGTACTCTCAACCATATCTATGTCAATAGTTTTTATATGGTGTCTTATATGTATCTCATATTAGTCTTCCATAGATTATAAGATTTTAGTATGTTGACCTATGTTTCCTCTTGGTGCAGGTTGTCCTAGAATTGCAGGGGATGATGACGAAAACTATGATGCAGATGATTTTGAGGATGAATTTCAGATCAAGAACAACCATGATACCCCAGATCGGCAGCAAGTCACTAATCATTCGGTAATTCAATTTGAATTCATTATAGTTAAAACCCTAGTTGGAGCTTTAAACAAATATCACACAAAATTAAACTAGACTAATATGATTTATTATTATTATTTTTCCTTTTTCAAGGGAATTCTAGATGAAAATGTTAACTATTGGTTTGGCTGCTAATGAATAGCTTCAGAGGTTATCATTTTGAAATACACACACACTGAGATTAAAGAATGGAGATAATCTAAACTGTTGGTATTGTTAGTTTTATTTTGCATAAAGTGATTACTCTAAGATTTGGACCTTCTTCTTTAAACTTATAAGCCCAAATTTTACCATTGAATTAAGTGATCATCCCTAAATATACTTATTTGTTATTATATGTATATATACTTTTGCATTTAATTTTGAAAAATGTTTTGAATTTAAACGGCAAGAGAACACTAAAACCATGTTGGCATGGTGAGTTTTCAGGAAAATGGGGACTATAATCCACAGCAATGGCACAACAACAACCCGGCTTTCTCTTCCTTTGGAGCAAATAGTAAGCTAATTTCTTTTAGATATTTTTTTGGGTTTCTATGTATAAATTTATCTGAGAATTAATTGTAGTTATTTGGATTGGTGATGGGTGGGGACATAGTTGTTGGTAATGATTTTGCTGGTGAGAAGGAGGCTTACACTGACGCTGAATGGAAAGAGAGAGTAGAAAAATGGAAAACCAGGCAAGAAAAGAGAGGCCTGCTGAGCAAAGATGATGGAGAAAATAATGATCAAGGTGATGAAGATGAGTACCAGCTGTAAGATTTCCGTTTCCTCCTCTGGTCATTTCATCCATATCGTACACACTGAACTTCAAATTTTCAATTCCAAATAGATTTGTCTTCCATATGGAATATATTATAAGTACTAATACTAATTAACACCTTAAAATCCTCTACCAGGATGGCCGAAGCTCGCCACCCCATGTGGCGAAAACTCCCCATCTCATCGAGCCTTATCAACCCATATCGCTTAGTCATTGTCTTGCGGCTCATCATTCTCGCCTTCTTCTTCCATTTTCGCATCTTAAACCCGGCAAATGATGCTTACCCTTTATGGCTAATCTCTGTAATATGTGAGTTATGGTTCAGCTTTTCTTGGATGCTTGATCAGTTCCCCAAATGGTTTCCTATCCAACGTGAAACCTACCTGGATCGCCTGTCCATGAGGTTTGAGCGTGAGGGTGAGCCCAACAAGTTGGCCCCAGTTGATGTCTTTGTGAGTACTGTTGACCCTCTCAAGGAGCCTCCAATTATGACGGCAAACACGGTCTTGTCAATCTTGTCTGTGGATTATCCAATTGAGAAGGTGAGTTGTTATGTATCGGATGATGGTGCATCAATGCTACTTTTCGATACTCTGTCAGAAACTTCAGAGTTTGCAAGAAGATGGGTTCCTTTTTGCAAGAAGTACAACATCGAGCCAAGGGCTCCTGAGTCCTACTTTTCGCAGAAGATTGACTACTTGAAGGATAAGGTGCAGCCCACCTTTGTCAAGGATCGCAGAGCCATGAAAGTAAGCAAAGAAACCATCTTTATATATGTTACCAATTGGAGCATTTTATGCAACCAAATAAAAATTTCTTCAGCAATGAAATGGTGTTTGATGGGATTGCTTATTTGTATTACAGAGAGAATATGAAGAATTCAAAGTGAGGATTAATGCATTGGTGGCAAAGGCTCAGATGAAACCAGATGAAGGATGGGTCATGCAAGATGGGACCCCTTGGCCTGGGAACAACACTAATGATCATCCTGGCATGATTCAGGTTTGATAGTAACATCACTTGTCTTTTTGGAAAATTAACCAATATTTCATATGATGTAATTATGTGAATTGATGAATCAATAGTTGAATCAAAGAATTCACTAGCTAGACTTCATGAGCAAGTTTTCAATTGAAAAGGAAAATTGTTTGAATTGAATTTTTTTCTTTCTAAAGTGCAACAGTTGTCTGGATGGTTATTGGAAACCCCTATCATTTTATCGCCTATGATCACAAGTTTCAAGTTAGAAGTAGTCGTACTGGATATTATAATCGAGGATTGTTATCAATTGCCATTTATTTTAGTGATTGGCTTGAGTTGACACTCCCTTGGCATATTAACATATGCATTCTACTTCCATTTGCAGGTTTATCTAGGGAGTGCTGGTGCATTCGATGTGGAAGGTAAGGAGTTGCCACGGCTTGTCTATATTTCGCGTGAGAAAAGGCCCGGCTATCAACACCACAAGAAAGCTGGTGCAATGAATGCCATGGTGAGTATCCCTTAAAGTATGTAAATTGGATGGTGAGACTATATAATGATGTTGAGTGTTTACCTGAAAATGTTGTATGTGAACACAAGGTCCGAGTCTCGGCAGTGCTCACCAATGCACCCTTCATGTTGAATTTGGATTGTGATCACTATATCAACAACAGCAAGGCCATAAGGGAAGCTATGTGCTATTTGATGGATCCCCAGCTAGGGAAGAAGCTCTGCTTTGTCCAGTTTCCTCAGAGGTTCGATGGTGTTGATAATCACGATAGATATGCTAATCACAATGTTGTGTTCTACGATGTAAGTTTCTCTTAATTCTGTAAAATCTTTTAGGATTTCTCCGTGCTCTGGTTGTATAAGTTAAGCCTCATGTGCATTTCATTTATATTGCTGCAAATAAATCAAGTTATTCACGAACAATTGAACTCAACTGTTTTTTAAGCGCTCCTATTCTTTCAATTAGAAAATTGACCAAGCTCGAGCTTGTTTTTGGGCTCATTTATTAAAGAACTCAGAGCCCTCAGCTCATATAGGCTTGTGATCACGTGACTTTTGTGGGCTCATACTGACTGGTCTCATAAGCTTTTTGTAATTTGACAAATTTCATACCTATATATCAACAGAAATAATAATAGATAATAGTTAAAATATAAAAAGTAATATGTTTGTGTTTGTGAGCTCATGGTTCAAGCCAAGCCTACCCGTGAACAATCTGAGTTGAGTTCTTGAGCTTGTCAGGAATTTAGCCTGTAAAGAAACATGCTCAGCTCGAAAAGTCTCAAGCTTGTCTTGGTCCCTATTCACAGATGCAAATGGAAAAAACATTAGATCAGTGGGCCTTGTGTGGACTTTGAGTATATTCAGCAAAGAACATTCAAGGCATTGGAAATTTGAAATCTAGCCCTAACATCTCAATCAAACTAAACTAACACACCTTCAATGTTACTTTGCTTATAGGTCCACATGAAAGGCCTTGATGGGATCCAAGGACCAGTATCTGTTGGCACCGGATGCGTCTTCAACCGGCAGGCAATGTATGGCTATGATCCCCCGGTATCTGAGAAGCTCCCGAAGATGATTTGTGACTGCTTGCCTACATGGTGCTGCTGTTGCTGTGGTGGTTCAAGGAAGTCAAAATCAAAGAAGAAAGGAGTGAGAGCTTTGTTAGGCCTTGGAGGAGCGTACAGCAAGAAGAAGAAAATGACAGGCAAGAATAATTACTCTAGAAAGCCATCTGGACCTGTCTTTGATCTTGAAGAGATAGAAGAAGGGCTTGAAGGCTATGACGAATTCGAGAAATCATCGCTCATGTCTCAAAAGAACTTTGAGAAACGGTTTGGGCAGTCACCGGTGTTTATTGCTTCCAGTTTGATGGAAGATGGTGGTCTTCCAGAAGGGTTTAAATCTACTTCACTGATTAAAGAAGCCATTCATGTTATTAGCTGTGGTTATGAAGAAAAAACTGGATGGGGCAAAGAGGTGAGTAAGCATTACACTAAGCTCTTCCTATGTCACGGCATTCCAACTCTTCAATAATTTAACAAAATTATTGGGATTTTGACTTAATTTTAATATTTTTAACAACATTTCACCTCCAAGACATGACATGTTAGTGTGCTATTTGTTTTCAGAATGTAACAAGAATGTCAAAAGTAGAGTAGTTCAGTGCATTTGATGCATACAATTCAAAGACCTTTTTTGTTAGTGCGATGTTGATGAACTTGTTCTGTTAACAGTTTGGATGGATGTATGGTTCAGTCACAGAGGACATTTTGACCGGGTTCAAGATGCATTGTAGAGGGTGGAAGTCAGTGTACTGTATGCCAAAGAGATCGGCATTTAAGGGATCAGCGCCAATTAATCTGTCAGATCGATTGCATCAAGTTATGCGATGGGCTCTTGGTTCTGTTGAAATCTTCTTTAGTTGTCACTGCCCGCTTTGGTATGGCTACGGAGGAAAGTTGAAATGGCTAGAGAGGATATCTTACACTCACATCATTGTTTACCCATTCACTTCAATTCCTTTGCTTGCCTATTGCACAATTCCTGCAGCCTGTCTTCTGTCCGGAAAATTCATATTCCCTACAGTAAGTAACACAAAGAATTTACTTCCAAGACCATTGCAGTTATTATTTGATTTGCTGATCAATCACTTACATGTATGGGAAAAGTTTGTTCTGCAATTTACTTGGAGCTTACCATTGAAGTATTTCCTAAAACCAGTCATAAAAGACTGATAGAGTGTATAAATGAATTTTGTAGCAGAGAGTTACCAAAATAGGCTTTTTGAATTTTTTTGTCAATATTTAAGGTCACTCTTTCATTATGTTTCTTAATGACAAATACTTGTTTCACAAAACTTTTTCATGTGGTCATTTAAGATACATTTGAGATTTTCTCATCACAAGTTTTCCTTTCTTATGCAGCTGATCAACTCTTCTAGCATATGGCTTATGGCTCTTTTCATCTCCATCATAGTTACGGGTGTGCTAGAGATTCGATGGAGCGGTGTTAGCATCCATGACTGGTGGCGCAACGAGCAATTTTGGGCCATTAGTGGAGTCTCAGCACATCTTTTTGCTGTCTTCCAAGGCCTCCTGAAGGTCCTTGGCGGAATTAACACAAAATTTACTGTAACAGCAAAAGCAGCAGATGATGCCGAGTTTGGGGAGCTCTATCTCTTCAAATGGACCACAGTTCTTATCCCACCAACCACTCTAATTATCTTGACTATAGTTGCTGTTATAGCTGGAGTTTCTGGTGAAATTAGCAATGGGGATAGCACGTCAGGTCCTTTATTCGGGAAGCTACTCTTCGCCTTTTGGGTCATTGTTCATCTCTATCCTTTCCTCAAGGGTTTGATGGGAAGACAAGACAGAACTCCTACAATTATTGTCCTTTGGTCTATTCTTCTGGCTTCAATCTTCTCATTGCTTTGGGTCAGAATCGATCCTTTCTTGCCGAAGCAAACAGGGCCAATTCTTAAACCATGCGGGGTGGAGTGTTAGGAGTGCCCTTAATTTCCCTTCCTACAGTTTTCTTTTATTGTCTACTACTTCTGCTGGGTTGTTTCTTCAGCTTTCATCAGACATTCACAGAGATCAATGTTTATATACATGGTTCATAGGAGACATTTTGCTTGTATTTGCTAGCAATGCATGAAAGGTCTGATGAGATGTGTAAATTTGATCAATACATGAAAGATATGTGATGTTTCACTTTGCAAATGGAAGTTTTTGTGGACATGTCTTTAGAAATGTTGGTATGTTCTTTGGCAATAAGAAAAGAAATAAGACTACAAAACAAATATTTGACAATGAAACAACAAATTATTTTCTTTTGCAAGAAGTTCCTGGACACAGTAGTTAGGAACTTAGGGTGTGTTTGGTAGGGTTGATTTAGAGGGATAGGGAGAGAAAAGAAAAAAGAAGATAGTGTAAGTTTGTGGTTGGGTAAGTTAAGTGGAGGAATAGGGAGAGATAGGGAGGGATAGTTATCCCTCCTTATCTCTTATTTGTTTTTTCTTTAATTTTGAGATGATAAGGAGAGAAAGCATACTGATTTTAAGTAGTATTTTGATAATACCAAAATATACAGATTTATTATTCCATTCAAGTCCCATAGTTATGAAAGGGTAAAAAAGTAATTTGTTTACTATCATTTCTTTTATTTTCTCTCCTCTTTCTTATCTAAACAAGAACAACTATCATTTCATTTCTTTTCTCCCTTATCTATCTAAACATTAATAGAAATTATTACTATCCTTTCTTTTCTTTTCACTCATTACTAATACTATTCTTTCTTTTCTTTTCTCTCCTGTCTATCCAAACACATCCTTAGGAATTTGATTGAATAGTGAATACTCGGGTTTCTTTTCTTTCTGAACTCTGCACTCTACAACACATTTATGACTTAGATTAACATATTCAAAGCTTGTCCATATTGGTGAATGATAATTCAGGTATTACACTAATGAAATTCCAGCAATTGGAATAAATTTAGGAATTTCACGGGTAAGTTCATCAATGAAATAAAAGTTGAGATGCGTAAACAAAGGTATGCCTTACAGAATGGACTCTGTTCCGCAATGTAGTACTACAGGTAAGTATGTGATCACTCATATGCGTAAAATGACTGATATACCCCTGAAAGTGCAAGAACAATGCACCAGCAATGTGACTGAATTATACGGTAAGATGAATCTGTGAATAAATGTGCCATCCTTGATGACTACTGACCGACCTTAGCCAATCTTTTGACATTAAAAGAGCAAATTACAGAAAACAAGGGTGGGACCAACAACCCTTTCCTTTCCCAAGGCCATTGATTTGGCATTTTGGTCTTTTTGCGCGTCAACTAAAAGTTTCAGTTACTTGGGTGGACTAGAATTCTTCCCTAAGCCTTCTCAGCTTTCTGACCCTCTACCGTCATCTTTCTTTTGCCATTTGCCTTCTATTCGGTTTCATTTTTCCTCTTCTTCTCCTCCTCAAAAGTATGTGAGCTAAAGTTGAAGCGAGGAAGATTCATCTCTGTAGCTTTAGGAGCGTCAAAAGCAATATCCCTCAATTTTGTGAAGGAAAGTAAGGACAGAACAGAATGGACTCTGTTCCACATGTTCCTCTTGAGGTAGTCAAGTTTGCCTTCAACCTCAGTAAAAGGTAGGTAATGTGTAACTACACCAAGGAATTTGAAAATGGAATTAAAAAGATGTACTTCACATAGTGAATAATGACAACTCCAAAAGTGAAGGTAAGAATTGGGAGGAATATCTACGCCATCCAATGCCTTTGAGTTCGGATACTTATTGGAAAATGGAACTTTCCAGTTACCCCGAAAGACTATAAGTGATCCTTACAGAGTTTCTCAGCAGAGGGGTTGTCAGACATCTCTTTCATAGAAAAAAAAAAAACAGAAAGAAAAAAGAGAAACCCATTTCTCCGGTCTGTGAAGGAGAAGGAGAGCTTGGCTCTACCCCAAAAATTGGTATGTAGAGAGAAAACGAAGAGGAGAAAGAGAAATAACCAGGTAGGAGAGAATGGGTTGATGTGTGCGTTTCGTCCATGCTGATTGTATTTTGCTGATACTGTACCACAAATGAGGTGTGGTACCGGACCACCTAATAATTTCTAGTTACGAAGGGAATTATATAGACAGAGGGCAGAAGGAAAATTCCCAACCAATAACAAGACATTTGTACACCGAGAAGACAAATATCAAATATCCAATCAACAATTGGCAAGGTCCACATCAGCAAAAATGGAACACATGGCCAATCAGAAGTTACTCAAAACAGGTTCAGCAATTGACCTAGTCGGTTTCTTCTGATTGATATAATGAATCGGGCTGTGTTTTATTTTAATGAGTTTCAACAAGTTTATCAAGTTGATGTTTATTCTGAAATTTTATTGCATCATCAGATTTCTCATGTTGGTGTATGGACTGCTCCAACGGAGGGTCGTTTTAATCTTAATGTGGACACTTCCTTTGAGGCTTCATCTCGGAGTTGTGGCGGGGGAATCATTCTCAGAAAGCACAATGGACTTCCAGTGAAGGTTGCTTCAGTTTTTCTTTCGGATGTTGGAAGTGCAGAGGTGGCGGAAGCTTTGATTCTTAGAGAGGGGGTTGTTGTTTCCAAATCAGTGGGGTTATCTTTTAGTGGATGTGGAAAGTGGATTGTCAATTTCAGTCCTGCTGTCTCCCTTACCTCTACTGTTCTTGATGATAACAAAGTTTTGTTGCAACAAAATTTGGCCTTGGTTTTGGTTTGGGCTCCGAGGTCCTGTAATAAAGTGGCTCACCAACTGAGGAAATGGGCTTTATTTTAAAAACTGTACTGATCTGCATGGGCAGATTTGGCTCCAATGGCTTTCTCATGTAATCTTGGAGGGTTATCCTCTCTTGTTTCCTAATATAATTTATGTTTTTGGATTTTTTTTTTTTTTTGACCTAGTCGGTTCGCCAACAACCCAAGATCCCAAGATATCATCAAAGAGTAAAAACATGATCAGAAAGCAACTCGACATCGCTCTTCTTCTCACCAACCTCATTCATCCTCAAAGCTGGCAAGCAAATCATAATCCTCTCAACAAAATCAGGAGAATAAATAGAAAGTCAGTCATGAATTTAATATTCAACAAAGCACCAAGGAAAGAGGATGTGAGAAATAGAATGAAAACATTCTGAAAAATCACTTCTTGTATTCATTCCAAGGCAATGCCGAAATAGTAACAAGAAGTTTGATATAAGTTGTGATTTTGTTCAGTTGGTGGGGGTTTGTTTGACTTTTCTTATTCAACAAAATTTTTGCACCTACAGCCACCACAAGAATATTTTAAATTAATTTATGGTTGAAATTTTTTCTGATAATGGCCTAAAAAAGTCAAAACTTTATTAGAACACATATATATTTTGTTTACAGGAAAGAGTACACATCCACAGTAACACAACCCAGAAAGAAAGTTTTTGTTACCAATTAAGACCATTGAACCTCTAGTGATTATCCAATTGACCACCAACACCACTAGAAGCTATGAACTCAAGCACGCCGGAAACAAGCTCCTCCACCGTCGACGGCGATGTGGTGTCCACAACCAGCTTGGGCACGTCGCCCACGTCGTAATCCGAACATCCACCGTAACCCTCTAACAGCCTCTCAAGATCCCGCCAAGTGGACGGCTTATGCCAGTTGCTCTCACCACCCCTTCGCTCCAGCCGGCGCCGCCACTCCGACTCGTCGCCGGGCTTGCACTCCACTATCACAAGCCGAGACCCGGATGAAGCAGCCAGTTGAAGGAGGCGGTCGAGGTGGGACCGGCGAGAGAGCGGCGAGTCGATGACGACGCCGAGGCCCAAATTGAGCTGGGTGGAAGCAATTTGCCAGATGACTTGGTAGGAGAGGTCGTTGAGGAGTTTAGGTGCCAAGTCAGGGGAGGATAGTAGGAGGGAGTGTTGAAGGTTTTGTGTGCAGTCACGGACGTCGTCTTTGTCGATGAGAGGGCATCCGAGGGCTTTGGCTAAGGAGCGCGCGAGAGTGCTCTTGCCTGTGCCTGGATGACCTTTCATTGCTATCATAAGATTCATACCTGCAATAGTGAAGAACGGCTTCGATGAAAACCGGATAAATTTGTTAATATAATCTCCATTTAATATTTTTGACAATCAAAATTGGCAACCCACTTTGCCTTTTTGTATAAAAAATGGAAAAAGAGTAAAATAAGGACCTGTTTATCATGTGAGTTGGGTGATAATTATAGTGTATATAAATAAAAAAACTTAAATATCTGAGAAATAACATATAAGATAATGTTTTCTTGTTATAAGCAAATTGGTAATGGACAAGTGGAGTCCCATAGAAGATAGGAGTAAAATGAGGAGGTTGTTTATCACGTGAATTTGGTTATCAACTTAAAAGACAAAAAAGCTTACTTGTTAGGATATGTAATGAAGGAACCGATAAGGTTTACTTGTAAATAAATTGCTATTGGGAATAAAATTGGAGAAGACCATGAGATGATGTTAGTAAACAATTTTATTTTCTGATGGAACAATTTGAGGTGTTTTTGTTAGTAGCTTTAGGCTATAAATAAGAGAATTTTAGGACTTTATAAAGGTCCAACAATCACATCATATTAGATATAAATTTATAATTGGCTAATTTTGTTGTAGTGTCTGATCGAATTGTAATTTTATGATTTATTTTTGGAGTCTTGATGTCAGAAACAGAATCGTAGGATTGGACAAAGTGCAAACATTCTTGGATTCGATGAGAATATCATATTAGAGACAAAGTATGTTGGTGAGGGCACTTTGTAGTTCATTTTTGGTGTTTAGGACTTAGAAAATTTGAATGTTCAGTGAATATTTTAAAGTCTGCCAAAAAAATGGACCAGTCCAACTTTCTTGTACCGATTCAAGTTGGTATGTAATTCACTATTTCTTTGATGCCAAAAAACTGAAGTGGTCCAACTTTCCCTGGTCCGGTCCAAGTGCCTTAAAACCAATATGAAAATTGTTGTTTTAGTCCAATTTTGTTTGTTTGTTTTTTTTTTTTTAACCAGATTTTAGGGAGACGTTTTTATACTAATTGATAGGAAAAATAAACTTAACTTATCTTGAGCAGTCGTTAGATCTCTTCGACATATTTCGTTGTCAAAGATAAAGATTTTCATCGGATAAGAATGATAACATTTCTTATTTAGGATAACAAAAGACGACGTGGTTCAAC